GGAAAAGGAAATTTATAAAAATCTCTGCTCTAATGTAATCGTACGGATCAAATATGGTCCAGTAGTCATCTACGTGAATAACCGTTTATTTTTATTCCTATTTTTACCAGTGTTCCAATCTTAAAATTTATGAATTAGCGAATTTTATGGCCAATGATTTTAAACGTAACGTTCTGTCATTAGATTATAACTCAAATAGAAAAATACAATATTATTATATTATTAACTATAATTTTTATTTGATTAATTTTAATTATATTATATTAGAAATAAACTAGAGTAGCGATTCTCAACCTTTCTTCTCACATACCACCCAATGAAAATGTGACCAAGTCACATATTACTTTATCGTGTATATTTGCTGTAGCATATCGGGTTATACGTAATTTTAACATTTGGTATAATTTTATTTTAATAATTTTATAATATTCAATCCACTATTAGCAATATGTATATTATAGGTTGAGAATCACCGAACTAAAGCATTACCTTATTATTTTCAAGATGTTTGCACGAATATATTTTCAATCAAATTTAACCAATTTTATAGAATCGCTTATAACAAAAACGCTTAAATATAAATGGATTAGACTATTTCCATGTGAAGTTGAAGAATATTATGTTAATTTCACATTATATAACATACATATGTTGTTTGTTTGGAAACAATAGATAAATCGAAGAAATAAATATAACAAAGTGATGGTTTGAAGTGGCACCACAAGTGGAAAGAAGTTGAATTTTATAAATTATCTTCACGATGAAAATAGCATTTGCGAAAGTGTCTCCTATCGATTTAAATGAAGTGGTTTACCTGGTTATCGATGAAATGTCGGATGAAGGATTAAGAAGAGGAACACAGATATACTGATATAAAGTATAAAATAAAATATTAAAATCCTTCCTTAATTTACACTTGTGCGACACTAAAAATAACCGAAAGAAACAATCTTTGATTAATCATCATCAAGTATGGACTATAGTTGAGAGGATTACAGTTGAGAGAAGATTGAAATATATTTATTAGTTATTCAGTCGTTTTTGGTATTCTTTTAAAGAAGAGAACATAATCATACGAATGAAAAGTTGCTCATTTTAATGATAAAATATGATAGGTCAAAGAAAAATCGAATTGAAGTACGCAAATTTGTGGGAAATCATTAAACTGTACATTCACCAATTTTATATGTATCATAGGTCAATAATTTGAATGTTAATTGTAATACAATTAATACTTCTTTGATTTGGGAACATGTTTTAAATCGAGAAGTTAGTTATATATGTACTGTGTATATGTACATAGAATATAACTCAATTCCTTGCAGATTTGGTAGTGGATATTATTTCGACAATAATATGATTTCAATTTATCGATGAGTTCTTTAAATACAATGTAATACAGATCAGAATGGTATTCGTTTTGTGGATTAAATGGGTCGTCATAGTGATTTATGAAGTTTTCCACAGAGATATAAAGATAAGTAAATATAGCATGCACATGCTGCTCCAAATAACGTGATAATTGCAGGAATTATACATCATAATTACATGCTGAACTTTTGAAAGAAATTATTATAGGTTATAAATTTAAAATTGACGGAATTTTTTCATAAAATTCGTTGTTTATTCATTCACTATATTTCAATTATTATTATTATAGCTATTTTGAAAAATAAATTTTATAATTGTATTTGGAGCCATTTATCGATGTTATTAATATTATTACAATTAAAGGTATTACAATTGATCGTTTAATCTATTAAATTAAATGACTCATTGTGGTAAACGAAATAAATTATATGTACGAATTTCAAAAGAATATTAAGTAGGTTATAAAAAAAGAAAATAAAGAAGATTAAAGAATAAGACCAAGGCAGATATCGAAGGATTAATTATACGAGCATGCATATGTTATACATAAAGTCATAAATTCGAGTAGCGAAAGCGATAATATCGAAAAAGATGTTTAACTAAACGTTTAAGAATGCACATTTGATCAAATTTGTTAAATTCAGTTTTAATAAATTAAACATGGAATTATGGAAACCAACGATAACGTAAGCATGTACACGTACCGCGCATGCGCAGTAGTCAGAAGAAACAACGCCACAGACGGTGAACGTTAGCACTACTATTATCAACGCAAAATGATGGATTGCTACTATCTTCTTAAGTATCAAAATATTTATTTACCTTTTTTCGTTTCTTATGTACATTAAGCATAGAAAATATTTGTACATCAATCAAATTTAAGCCACAATTTGTAAAATGAACATGCGTTAATTATTTCTCATAAAATAATAAGTTCAGATATATTTTCAGAGATCTTTAAAATGAATCTTTTATTTAAAAAATCCAGTGCTTATATAACTTGCAGGATTAATAAAAACAATTGAAAGATTAATAGAAATATACAGATTATTTAAAAATAAATTTATGGCACAAATACTATATGATCCTTCGCTTGTTTGGTAGCATTACTAGCTTCAGCAATGTTCTAATTTTATTTTCGTTTAAAATTAAACTATATTTATATACCAAAAATTGAAATGGAAATGTAAAATAAGACAAAGAAAATCATTACTTATTTTTACATATAACTCATATGAAACTATATCAGAATATCGTGAATTATAAATTGTTATAGATTAGACTTCGACCCACTATATAAAGTATAATTGATAGGTATAAACGAAGGAAAATTAATGAATACACTGAACTATCACCAGAATGATGAAGCATGATTAATCACGAATTGTATAAAATATATGTATTTTCTTTCTGCATTGAAACGTGACATAAAGCCAGATATTAAGCTCTATACTCTATGGAATGTTGCGTCTATCGTCTCGCATTTTTTTAGGTTAAGGTTAGGTTAGGTTGTTACAGCTCGAGCGCGATTAAGTCTCTTGATAAACAAACACTGCTTGTCGGCTACTGTTTGCATTGAATTGTTTATTTAGATGAATCGATGATTTCGTTGTTCTTGCTGCATAGTTCTGACAGTTGCATGGTTTTCCTAATTTCGTGGCAATATGCCACGTGGTAAATATTTATTAATTTGGTTTAAATATTAATTTAATTCGGTTATTAATTTGACTTAAATATTTATCTTCAATATTTCGTAGTAATATTTAAGATTCTCTAAGGTTCTTAACTGCTGACTATGATTTTAGATTTCGACAGGCTGATTTTTAACCGTTGGCTAACCTTCGGATTTTAACTGGCTGAATATTTATAGGAATTTTGTGGCCACGAGGAATACACCGGGCAGCCAATCAAAAGTCTAATCCTAGTTCAACACTTCTCACCCATTTTCAGTAGCACTCCAACAGTGTATAGTGAGGTGTTGCACCGAAGAGCAAGACAAAACTATTTTAAAATTCGCTCGATGTTCAATCTATCATAACACTGTTAATCTTCATCCAAATTTTATGAAAAGAAGCATTTAAAAACTTGGACATCCTATATTCGATTTTTGAAACATGGATTAATTATCGAAATTAGTACCCGGAGTATAAAATTTACTTTTAAATATTGCTATAATTAAATTTAAATAATTAAAATTTACTTTTAAATATGAATGCAATAAGGTAAAGTAAAATTTTCTTTTGTTAGTACAACAAAATTCCAATTATCCAGTGTACACGTGCCTGAGGCACGTGTTGGATAATCAAATATACCAAATAATTAAAATAATATAAACGAAGAATATAATATAAAATGCAACTAAATATACAGTTAAATATTTGCATTTAGAATGTAACCTGTGCACGATTAAGACAAATGACGGAATTATAGAATGCAATGCACTCTTTTAAGTCCACCTTGCCGCGGAGTCCCTACCATAGAACAAAGCGCCGTGACAAAGCTAGAAATATTACGCATGCGCAGTCTTTAGGATTCGGGACCAAATCTTTTGAAGAAAACGAAAGAAGAAAAAAAGGAAAACCGATCATCACAATAGCGTTTGCAATTCTTTGCGAAGAGAACTAGGAACGGTACTACACTTGCTTTAATTTTTGACTCAATTGTTGTGGCCGATGACTATAGTCACTCGTCATGTATAGATGGCGTCTCGTAGCCGGTGACTATAGTCACTCGTCATGTATAGATGGCGTCTCGTAGCCGGTGACTATAGTCACCCGTAGTAGCGAAAGGATTAAAGTTAGGGATTAGGAGTAGATGTTTAGCATATATCGGACCCAAACAGTTGATGAACCCTTCGCTTTGTTAACCTTTTATTATTCGTGTCACTGTTGAATGCGTACAACTATGATTTCATTGTTTTTGTAAAATGTAGTTCGTAACAGTTGACTAAAGGAAAATATGCCAATTAATTGGACATTCCGTATGACCAGGTACCGGATAATCGGAACTTTGTTGTATTTATCAAGTACGATGGATGAAAGAAATGTTTCCTTTTGTGAAATTTTTATGTATCTACCTATGCTATTGAAATGTATGATCACAAGTAAAAATTTATCGAGTATCATAACAGTGCACGAACTATTAGGCGACTGATAGCCATCGCAGAACTAAGAAATTACGATGCAATTATCAACAAAGGGATCGAGGAAGATCAAAAGAGAATTTTCAGTATAATAAGCTTCGTTCAGCAATTAAATTTATATATGGAAATAATAGTAAAGGAATGAAGATTAACATTTAGTAATTTAAAAAACTATATACTAGAGGAAGTTATTCAGAAATAGTATAGTAAAATTAATAATAAAATAAATAATGAATAAAATAATAAACTAAATAATTCTCTATTTTTTATACAAATATAAAGGAAATTGACTATATACGTTACTCGAATAACATAAATAATTTAGCAACTTATGTACATTAATTATTACATACCGTGTAAACGAGAAAAAGAAACACAGCTGAATGATTTAACAGTATAAGGGAAAATAAGATAATAAGATAATAAGTGACTTGATTCGCATTGATTAATATCTAATTATTTGAAATAGTTTTTAGTCAATACTCACACATCGTCCCTCTTTCTTCTATAGGTACCCATTTCGAGAGTAACGTGTGAATACACGGAAGAACCGTGCCTTGAAATAAACCGGCGATTACTCTAGTAACACAGACCGCTTCCCATCCACAGTATTGAGCAAGTAGTGGAATTAAGAGTGTTACAAAGCCACACATGAATTGCGCCAACGAGAAAAGTTTATGAGCTCCCCAACGTTGTGCCACTATGCTGCCAATAATTTGCGTGCACACGTATCCCCAAAAGAAAGAACTTTGAATTACGTCTTTAGTAGAATCATCCCATGAGAATTCCTGTAATGAAAAGAACCATAGTTAGTAAATAAGGAATTTAGCAATTAGCAACAAATTTTCTTTTTATACAAATTAATATTATTTATTTAACTCTTTATATTCAAAGCAATCTTTCGTTACAATCAAATAGCAACTAGAAACTTTTCTGCTATTTGAGGTCAATGATATTTTTGGCAATAATAGGAACAAATAGGAAGAAATCGTGTATAAGTTGACGCATAGGACTATTTTCTTCCAATATTCCATATTGCTACGTTATTTGAAACTTGCCTACTATAAATCTTTAAAATTTTGACTACTATAAATTTTTAAAACCACTTCTATAAATAATAGTACTATATTGACTATTGACTACTATAAATCTTTAAAACTCTTTAGAAATAATCGAGAACTAAGGGTTATAAGGGTTATCTAAAGCAAAGAGTTAATATTTAAAAATTTAGATAAAATAAGCAGAATGATTTAATGGTTCGTGCACGGCTCAATATCCTCACAAATATAAACATTCGCTCATTTTTGTTTTTGCATGATCCTAATTTACGAGGAAATTGAAACGAATACATGTAAGGAAATCGGCAATTTCCTCACTGAAAAAGACTCACCCCTAATAGCTGACTTATGACGAAATGATTTAATTTTATAAATAATAAATTATTACCTCATTTTAATTGTGTATATATGTAATTGAACACTGAAAGATTATTCGACGTTTCAATATTTTGCAGAATGCAAGGTATTTAAGAATGCTTCACGAACACCTATACTCATATATGAAAGTATTCGAACGCTAGAATTAACTATGTTCAACAACTAAAACGTGTACGTTAAAGTACAGTATAGAGAAAATGACAAGATTATATCAGTAAAATTAAAAGATTATATCAGTAAAAAAAAGATTATATCAGTAAAAATATTTCAACAATATATACGATATGTATATGACATTTATTAGGAGATGCGGGCCGTGGTGGCGCTAGTGAGTTAAGTTAAAAGTCGTCTTAAGCTGTCATAGGCAATCAAAGTCGAATCAACGTTATATAGAAACTTCCTATTCTTTAATTAGTGGTGCCTTTTATTTTAATACTATACGTTACTTATGTAATATTTTTATGATTCAGCGAAGCTACATATTTATAATAGATGTATCGTAAATACGATACATATCGTTGCATTATTTTCTACTTTTAATCACATAATTTCAAGAGTTCCTTTTTGTTATATATGTACATCATTATCGTTTCTAATATTTGAGTGACATGTATCACTTTTTAAAACTAGTCTCACTGCTGACCTCTGATATAATAGTGCAATACAATAATATTATAACAATAAAATACAACTATATAGTATTAGTATTTTCCACATTAATTTATACATAACAACAATCCTTTTACCTGGAAACCATGACTGTAGAAAACGCCATAAAGATTATACTTAAATTTTAAAATAACAAGAAACTATATTTTTCATTAGACATTTTTTACAATCGACATCGAAATATTTTTGAAACGCTAATTGTATTTTTTTTGCAGAAATTATTATTAAATTATAGAATTTCAAAATTGGCATGTTAACATTACTTAATGCAAATAATTGGTTGCACTTTGTATAGTAAAACAAAAATTGTTTAATCACAAAGACTAGTGACAATTCCGATTGATGCTGAAATGACACAGTTCATGTCGTCAATACTCATATACAATAAATATTTAATATCAAGTAGTAAAATAAAAAAATGATTGATTAATTATCAATTCCAACTTCATTGCTTGTCGCTAAATACCTACAGTTGCAAACTGCAGACGATTCTGACGATAGGCGACATCTACCATATCTTTTCGAAACTGTCGATAGATAGAAAAATTATTGGGGACCTTGCCGTGTTGCTTTAATCAGAAGTATGGTGCTTAGAAGTTTGCACTCGGAACGTCTCAGAAGCAAGGGGAGTATTTTGATCGCCTCACCTGATGTCGCCTTTGATGTTCTTGAAATTTTACTTCTGTAGTAGTAAGATAAGTTACGTCGGCACTCTTCTTATCGTATGTTAAATAGCTAATACCAATCTTGTATACAGGGGGTAAAAAAAAGTATCGGCATACTGTATTACGAGAAAATTTACCTAAATAGAAGATTCTGATTTTAATTTTGTAATTTAAATGAAAATTTACCTTTGTAGTAGTAAGATAAATTACGTTGGCACTTCACTTAACATATATTAAATAGTTAATACCAATCTTATATAGAATGGGTAAAAAAGATATTGTCATACTGTATTGCAGGAAAATTTACCTAAACTAAAGATTTTGGTTTTAATTTTTTAATTTAAATGACAATCTACCTTTGTAGTAGTAAGATAAGTTACGTTGGCATTCTTCTTAACATATATTAAATAGTTAATACCAATCTTGTATACAGTGGGCGAAAAAGGTATTGGCATACTGTATTACAAGAAAATTCACCCAAACAGAAGATTTTGACTTTAATTCTTTAATTGGAATGAAAATCTATGAGTGTATATTTTATAATAGATTATACATGCAATATTCTTTTTTCTCCTATAATACAAGTCTAAGCAGATGAAGTCAATAATTAAATTTTTAGTGTTCTTTTCACTTTTGTAAATATAATTTTGTAATAGTGCAAGATACAATGAAATTTTGTATGCAAAAAATACCGAAACTTTGTGCTATAATAAACCGTATGCTTGCAACGATGGTCAATTTTGCAGGTCAATAATGATTTTTAGGTCTCGTGGACCTTCCCTATTGGGCGGCCATGTTTCGAATTTTAGTTTATAAGGACCCTCTGTTTTCTAGAAACTCTCAGTCTTAAACACGGTACAAGGACACGCAAATTCCTTTATATCTGTATATTGTATACGTATTATTGATACTAATAATACTGTATACTGTATTATTAATACTAAACGTTTCCTACGCATTTTAATAAATGCTGCAATTTCATTTGAAAAATTACCACACTTTAAGCTTCTATTTGACTTCCTTCAAAAAATTGCTCCATATAGATAGAACTTATTGTACTTCACATGTACACAAACTTTCATTAAAATCAAAATTTTCTAGTTAACTCTTTGCGGCATAGGATTTCAGATAATAAAATAAACCCATGTTGCATAGAAATTTTATTTCATTTTAAATGAAACAAAATTGGTATATTTTTACTAATAAAGGAATCGCGTAATGTAAAAACATAAAACCAGGAAAAAGAGATTGTCGCAATAAACCTTCCGCTTGCAACAATTGATGAACCTATACTGGCACGTTGAATGTCGCCAACACGAGCAAATACATTTATAATATTTGTTGCAGGTATTACCAACTGCTTTACGTAAATAAGACGAAATATGAACCTATACGCATGCAGCTATTGCAATATTTCGAGGTGGGACTAAAAATGTCCCACCATGCATTACGGTGCATCAAAAAGGTGGGACACTTTTAATCCCAGTGTGTCCCAAAGAGTTCACTTTAAACGCCCAGATTGCTTTGCTTGCTGTTGCATTTAAGTCCACTTGATGTCAATAGGACAAAATCTTGGCATCATTAGTAAAGTAAAAAAGTAAAAAAGGAAGGTAATACCATAAAATTAGGAGATACTTATGGCCAATTTTCACTGATACCCATTGTCTTCCAGCGGAAGAAAGCCTTTCGTTGGATTTCTAGGTAGACATCACCAAAATGCCTGCGTGCCCCAAAGAGTTAAATGAATTTTCTCATAATATAGTGTGCTAATACCTTCTTAACCCATTGTGTACTGTGCTAATACATCTTTACCTATTATAGCTAATGCTATACTGCTCTATCTGTACATTTGGTCCGGACATGTCCTGTTCGCTCTCTTCCTTACACGATGCAACATAATTTCATTTCTAGATTCAACGTATAACCAATAACAGAAATTCATGTAACTTATCTCTGCGATTATGTTAGAGAAAGTGGACCTGTTACAGTATATCCAACCAGACCAGTATTCCTTCAGCGTGCAATTTCCTGAACTCAGGTACTTATAGTGGTTTTAGAGAAAGCGGTGACATATCAATTTTAAAAATTCGTCTCGATCGTGGTTCATACGAAGGATGCAAATAATCAATCATTTGAAAACGACTCTATGTCGACTTTAAGAATTTGCTATAAAAGACATAGATTTCTCTTCATAAATTTCCATTCTTCAAGTTTCTCAATTGCAGATCGAGTTCCTTGTCGCAGAATTACGTAAATATTACTGTAATATCTCACGAAAGATCCGACAAAGTCCATTTGAAATGAATGGAAATTCATTTTCTACGTTATCGAAATTTTTCGAGAGAGATCTACACGTTTCCTGATAAAATCGGCGGTTTGTATAGGAGTACTGTATTTCATAACAGGCGATATGACTTGGGAAGACATTGATTCTAATCCATACCTAGATTGCGAACATAGTATGTCGATTTTTCTAAAAATAAAACTTTCTTTTTAGTTTTATTTAAATTGGACGCCTTTCGGAAGCGTTACAGACCAGTTTCAATCAAATCAGATTCGAAATAGAATTTTAAAAATATATATGCAACAATAAAGAAACTACGATTCTTGCTCATGCAACATTCAAACTTTCAATTCGACATCTCGAATAGATGTTATTAAAAATGGTAGAGTAATCGTATCAGCAATCGGATGAATTTTACGATTTGTCTACCATCATACTCAGCAATCGGCATGAAGGTAGATAAAAATGTTGGTTACATATTTAACAGATAATATCGCAGATAGAAATGGACATCAATATTTTCTACGTTTTTTAACAGTTAACACATTAGTATATTTACATAAAAATATTTAAATAACGAAAACAACTCGCAATAAATTATTTTAAACAAAAATTGATTGATACTTTCTAGAAAATTTGTTTCCTCTTTGACAATTCTCACATAACTGTTTTATTCTGGCACATTTTGCTAAACATTTTTTCAACCATCATTCATACCAAACTGTACTCGCACA